AATACTTCCTCAACTCATTCTGAGGTCCTCATATAGTATTTTCAGAAAAAAATTATGGGTGCCTCAAATGCGTCAAATCCATGGGCTAATACACACGAAAAATCGTAAAAGTCGGTTAATTTCAAAAAGTTGGCTCGTAAATGCAAAAATATGCTTGAAAAAAAGCAGGACTATACATAATGTTTTCCCAACTCATCACGGAGGTCCTCATATAATTTTTTCAGTAAAACTTTTGGTGTCCCAAAGACGTCAGATCCTTGAACTAATACACACGAAAACAGATAAAAATTGGGTTATTCCTAAAAGTTGGCTCGTAAATACAAAAATAGGTGTGAAAAAATGGTGGGACTATACATAATGTTTTCCCAATTCATTACGGAGGTCCTCGTATAATTTTTTTAAAAAAATTCGGGTTCCCCAAAGGCATCAGATTCGTGGGCTAATACACACGAAAAATAGTAAAAATCGAGTAATTCCTAAAAGTTCGCTCGTAAATGTGAAAATATGCGTGAAAAAAATGGCAAGACTATACGTAATGCTTTCCTAACTCATTACGGAGGTCCTCATATAAATTTTTCAGAAAATTTTTTTGAGTGCCCAAAGGCGCCAGATCCTTGGGCTAATACACATGAAAAACGACGAAAGTCGGTAATTCCTAAAAGTTGGCTTGTAAATGCGAAATATGCATGAAAAATGGCGGGACTATACATAATGTTTCCCCAATTCATTACGCAGGTCCTCATATAGTTTTTTCAGAAAAAGTTTATGGGTGCCTCCAAGACGCCAGACCCATAGGTTAATACACACAAAAAACGGTGAAATCGGTAATTCCTAAAAGTTGGCGCGAAAGTGCGAAAATATGCGTGGAAAAAATGATGGGTCTATACGTAATGCTTTAACAACTCATTACAGAGGTCCTTACATAGTTTTTTTAGAAAAAAAATTTGGGTACCCGAAAGGCATCAAATCCATGGACTAATACACATGAAAAATGGCGAAAGTCAGGTAATACCTAAAGTTGGCTTGAAAATGCATGAAAAAACGGTGGAACTATACGTAATCCTTCGCCAACTCATTTCAAAGGTCCTGAGATAGTTTTTTCAGAAAAAATTTCTGGGTGCCCTTAAGGGGCCAGATCCATGGGCTAATATACACAAAAAATGATGTAAGTTGGGTAGTTTCTAAAGGTTGACTCGTAAATGCAAAAATATGCATGCAAAAAATGGCGGGACTATATGTGATGTTTTCCAACTCATTACGGAGGTCCTCATATATTTTTTTTCAGAAAAAAAATTCTAAGTCCCCAAAGGCGCTAGATACATAGGCAAATACACATGTAAAACAACGAAAATAGGGTAATTCCTAAAGGTTGGCTTGTAAATGTAAAAATATGAGTGAGAAACGGCAGGACTATACATAATGCTTCCCCAACTCATTATAGAGGTCCTCACATAATTATTTCAGAAAAAAATAGTTGGCTTAAGGCGCCAGATCCATGGGTTTATACACACGAAAAACGACGAAAGTCGGGTAATTTGTAAAAGTTGGTTCATAAATACGAAAATATGCATGAAAATATGGCGGGACTATATGTCATTCTTCCCCAACTCACTACGATTTTCCTCATGTAGTCTTTTCAGAAAAAAAATTCAAGTGCCCTAACGGCGTCAGATACATGGGCTAATACACATAAAAAAATGGAAAAGTCGGATAATTTCTAAAAGCTTGATCGTAGATGTGAAAAATATGCGTGAAAGAAATAGTGAGATTATACATAATGTTTTCCCAACTCATTACAGAGGTTCTCATATAGTTTTTTTCAGAAAAAAATTCTTGGTGCTCCAAAGGAGCTAGATCCATAGGCTAATACACACGAAAAAGGCAAAATTTGGAAAATTTCTAAAAGTTAGCTCGTAATTCAAAAATATAAGTAAAAAAACTATGAGACTATATGTAATGCTTCCCAAACTCATTACGGAGGACCTCATATTATTTTTTCAAAAAAAATTCTAGGTGCCCGAAAGGCGTTAGTTCCATGGGCTAATACACACGAAGAACGACAAAACTCGAATAATTCCTAAAAGTTGGCTCGTATATGCGAAAATAATGATGAGACTATACGTAATGCTTCCCTAACTCATTACAGAGGTCCTTATATAATTTTCTCAAGAAATTTTTTTGGATACCCCAAAGGCTCCAAATCTAAAGGCTAGAATACACGAAAAACAACAAAAATTAGGTAATTTCTAAAAGTTGGTTCGTAAATGCGAAAATATGCTTGAGAAAAACGGTGGTACTAAATGTAATGCTTCTCCAATTCATTACGGAGGTCTTTACATAGTTTTTTTCAGAAAAATTTCCAAAAAATGCACCAGATCTATGGGCTAATACACACGAAAAATGATGAAAGTCGGGTAATTACTAAAAGTTGACTTCGAAATGCGAAAATATGCGTGAAAAATAGTTGAAATACACGTAATGTTTCCCCAACTTATTATGGAGGTCCTTATAGTTTTTTTTCAGAAAAAATTTCCGGTGTCGCAAAAGCGCTAGATCCATGGGATAATACACATGAAAAATGGTAAAGTCAAGTAATTTTTAAAAGTTGGCACGTAATTGCGAAAATATGCGTGAAAAAATGGCGGAACTATACGTAATGCTTCCCTTGCTCATTGCGGAGGTCCTCATATAGTTTTTTTTAAAAAAAAAATCGGATGCCAAAAAGCGCAAGATTCTTGGGTTAATACACACGAAAAATGGTGAAAGTTGGGTAATTCTTAAAAATTGGCTTGTAAATGCGAAAATATGTGTGAAAAAAATGGCGGGACTATACATAATGTTTCCCCAACTCATTACGGAGGTTCTATTATAGTTTTTTTCAGGAAAAATTTCCAGGTTCCCCAAAGTCGCCAGATTCTTTGGCAAATACACATAAAAGACGACGAAAGTCGGGTAATTTCTAAAAATTTACTTGTAATGCGAAAATATGCGTGAAAAAAATAACAAGACTATACATAATGCTTCCTCAACTCATTACAGAGGTCCTCATATAGTTTCTTTAGAAAAAATTTCCATGTGCCTGAAGGTGCCAGATTTATGGACTAATACACACGAAATATGACGAAAATCGGGTAATTCCTAAAAGTTGGGTCGTAAATGCGAAAACATGCATGAAAAAATTTGCGGGACTATACATAATGCTTCCCCAACTCATTACGAAGGTCTTCATATAGTTTTTTCAGAAAAAATTCCGAATTCCCCAAATTCCAAGATCTGTGGGCTAATACACATGAAAAATGGTGAAAGTTGAGTAATTCCTAAAAGTTGGCTCGTAAATGCAAAAATATGCGTGAAAAAATGGTGGCACTATACGTAATGTTTCCCCAGCTCATTACGGAGGTCCTTATATAGTTTTTTCAGAAAAGGCGGACAATTTTTTTTTTTGGTTTATATGTCACAAAATAGGAATACACGATTATCTCGATTTTCATGTGTTAATCCATGAATTTTCTAGAATACGTGTGAACGACTCAGTTTGAGCTTAATTGTGGCTCTATTGGTAGTGTCCTATTAAATGATACTCATTAATTTTGAAAGACGAGCATTGTTTTTTTATAGTTTATATTTTACGAATAGGATTTTGGCTTTATCTCAATTTGTTGTGTGTATTAGTCAATGATTTTTCATGAATTTTCTGGAATATGTGTGACCGACTCCATTTGATTTCAAATTGTGTATTCATTAGTGACGATCTATAAAATAATACACATTATTTTCGAGAGGCAAAAGTTGTTTTTTTGAAATACATGTGTCATGAAATAGAAATTCATGAATATCTTGATTTTTTGTGTGTATTAATATATCAATTATTTAGATTATGTGTAACTGACTCTATTTGAGCTCAAATTTGGGGTCCATTTGGTAACGACCTATTAACTAATACTTATAGTTTGTGAAAGGTGAACAAGAATTTTGAAGTTTAGGTTTCACGAAATGGAAATTCAAGATTATCTTTCTTTTGTGTGTTAATAACTATGAATTTTGTATAATATGTGTAAGTGATTGTGTTTGACTTTAAATTTTGTGCTTCCCTTAGTGACAATCTATTAAATGATACTTATTATTTTCGAAAGACATAAGTCACTTTTTAAAAGTTTGTGTAACAAAATAGGAATTCAGGACTATTTCAATTTTTCATGTGTTTTAGTTCATGAATTTTCTGAAATATGTGTGTCGACTCTATTTTAGCTCAAATTTTGTGGATCCATTGGCAAGGACCTATTAAATGATATTAATTATTTTCGAAAGGAGGACAAGTCTTTTTTGGAGTTTATGTGTAACAAAACAAAATTCGGGATTATCTCAATTTTTCATGTGTATTATAATTCATAAGTTTTTCAATATATGTGTGACCGACTCTGTTTGAGCTCAACTTTTGTGGATTCATGGGTGACGACCTAGTAAATGATATTCATTGTTCTAGAAAGACGGAAGTCACTTTTTTTTTGAAGTTTATGTTTCACAAAACAGAAAATCTAAATTATTTTAAACTTTACGTGTATATTAGTCAATTAATTTTTTGAAATATGTAGGACAACTCTATTTGAGCTCTAATTTGTTGCTCCTTGGATAACAACCTATTAGATGAAACTCATTATTTTCAAAATGCGGAAGTCACTTCTTTTTTTTTAGAGTCTGTCTCACAAAAAATAAAAATTTTGAATTCTCTCAATTTTTTGTGTATTAATTCATGAATTTTTCTAAACATGCATGACCTACTCTATTTGAGCTCGAATTTTTTGCATCCATTGGTAATGGACCTATTGAATGATACTCATTGTTTTAAAAAGACACAAGTCACTTTTTTTTGGAGCTTATGTTTCATAAAACCAAAATTCAGGATTATCTCAATTTTTTGTGTATATTAATCAATGAATTTTCCGAAATATGTATGACCAACTCTATTTGAACTCATGTCAGGAAACAAAAAAGTAAGATAGTCCAATCAAAACTCAACTGATCTATAGAAGGGTTGCTAACTTCTATATCTGTCCTCTCAACATTTACACAATAAAAAATTGTACAAAGCTTTACTGATAATCTAAAAGACTGTTACATTACCAGTCCTCCTTGAATGCTCATCTAGCAAAGTTCAAGCTCCCCTCTATAATCATTTCAGCAGCAGTACCCATAGCACCAACACCACTAGCTTCCAAAAGCGCCAGAGCTAATACTTCTTCGTCGCACCGTTTCAATCCCTTGCTCAGCCTCTTCAAAACTTGAAGATCCACCTCCAGAAGCCAGCTTGGTGTGCATCCCACTATCAAGCTTATGAAACCCGACACATATGCTCTCCATGTAGCCTTGTTACAACCAAGTGATATTTTGCCATCTAATGCACTCGCGAGAAATTCCAAGTGTGCTCCGAGCATACTTGGTCGCCATTTGGATGTGGGTGACGAGGAATCCACCCCCCAACAAAATGTTCCACACAGCACTGCCAAGTATGCAAGGGCATAACCCCTTAGCCTTGCAACCATTCCTTCTGAAACACCACCGTTAGGCTCTGACCTATGTGCTGATATAAACCAAGATGGCAATGTTTCTTTCAGTAAAGATTGGACTAGACTTAAACCACCTGTAATCCAAATTAATGAAGCACCCAATGAAGCTGCAAGCTTGACACGGACCATAGCTGCAGCAAGAGAGACGTGACAAGATGCAGGGAATCCACTATCTGTTTTCTGACTAGAGAGAGACCTTATCTCACCTCTAGTTTTCTTGAGTTTCTCCAAATCCTTAGCAGGGACTCCACTATCCGCAATATCTCTGACAAAATGCATCAAAAGGGAGACGATCTCTTCTGACATAAACATGACATTTCTGACAGCTCTATGAACACGCAAGTAGAGTATACCAGGGGCAACAGCAGATATGCCACCAGAAAAATGCGAACCAAATCCATGACCAAGAAGAGAACCGACCCCACCGTTGCTTTCTATAGAAGATGTACCTATACCTAGTGTAGCTGTAAAGCAGACCCGAAGAAGTTGAACCACTGCATCACTGCTGTGGTGGAAAACAGTCCGGGATGCAGAGAAAACAAGAAAGTCACTCCAGCGTCTAACCTTTTGAGCCCATAGAGCAGCCATAACAGGCATACACGGCCAAGGACAACTTGTAGCCAGGTTACTCACTGCTGCGCCCATCAAGTTCAGAAAGCGGTCAGTATCTCTATCAAGTTTATATGTAATGGTGAGGCTCACAAGGACTGCCAGAGGCAAAGGAAGAATAGCTGGAGAACTTCCACCTACAAACACATAGCATTAGCTAAACATCGAAATAAATGAATGAATAGTTAAATTCCCTGCACCTACTTCCTCCTACACACAGATGTATATATTAGATAGATATGGTAGTCCAGGTCTATCACATAGCAAGCCAGGACGGTTTTTTTAACTGATGCATCAATGTTAGAATCGACAGACAACCCTTGTTAGCTATTTAGCTCAGGCAATATAATTCAATATGTCAAAACAGGAGATCAGAGATCTAATCCCCCAAAACCAAACATCAATGCCATGACAAAAAGGAACGGAAAAAGAAGGGGGTGGGAGTAGGTTCACGTTCAGTCTACTACTGTCTGATTCCTCACCATTCCTTTGAGAAATTTTTAACGGGTGATCAACTTGTCACTGTGGTAACTTAGCCCATAGGTTAGAAGAAAAGAGGAGGAGAAGTATTCTCTTATGCCTATAGTTCCTCGTCTTAAAAGGATTAGGTGATCAGGTGAAATCAGATAAGTGCACACCTACAGAGAGACTTGGGACATCAACACCAGTGTCAGCTAGGATTTTCTTAACTTGTTGTTCCACTGCTGCTAAATTTGCAGCAGGACTTGGCCAATCAGTTCCATTCATAGAAGCAGGCTTCCAAATACCCCGCGTCACTTCAGCTGAAAAGTAACTTGTAATCGTTGCCAAAGATGCAGGAAGAAAGTCAGCTAGATGCTTAAGACCTGAGATAGAGAAAGTGCAGCGCTCAATATACCAACTCATAGAACTCATAAAAAAAAATACAACATCAGCTATGAGATAAAGTTCAAGTGTGTCATGTGAATTTTCCTCCTCTTTCTATTTTCTATTTTGTTTGTTCTTTTTGGTCGGGGGGGGGAGCAGCATTCAGGCATTGTACGATGTGCCTTGTAGGCTGTAGCTCTGACAACTGGCTTAAGTGTCCATTTGTGTGGGTGTTCTAGTGTATACCATTTTTAGATGTGTGCCTATCAAGCTAACGATTACTCTTGAAGCCTAATTGTAGACATTATGTCAAATGACTAACCTGTGGCTAGTTCACGTGGTGACAAGGTCCCATGAGCACATGCCGTGAGAGCAGCGTTAAGCACAAAAGGAACAGCTTCCAAAATATCCCAAGCAGGCAGCTTAAGATGAGGAGATATCTCTTCATTTCCAGACCCAGATGAGTTACTACCACTTGAAATTGGAGGTATAAGGGACTGACCAGCACTATTTATTTTTCGGAACATGAAGTCCAGCAGTGCTTCAACTATCTGATGAACAGGAGTTCCAGGGACGAGACCTGAGAGAGGTGACGCAATACATGCTTGATGTTGCCGGTACCAACATTTTAGTTTAGGAAACGAATCCATAAATATGGGTTCTCTAGGTAATTGACTGACAACTCTAGACAATTGCTTGCTTTTGCTTTGATCTATCAGCAAATCTTCAGAGAATGCCAACTGGGAGTTGCGAACCAGCAATAGGTATTCAGGAGTTAGATGGGATCCCACAGGAACATCTCTGGTGACATGCTCAAGCGGTGGCTGATCAAACCTCCACAATGTCAATAAAAGTGTGAATGCATTCGAGAAAACGGCATGTGAAGTAATTTCTTCCGACATAAGAGTCCATGACACATTGGGTGGACAAGAACCGAAGGCTTCACAAATTGGCATCAATGCACCAACAAGCTGTGGAACCTGAAAGAAATTTAAGTACAACATCAGCACATAGGTTGGTTTCTCCATCTGTATCTTAAGCCCAGTTGCTACTCAGTGTACTTTTTTCGAAACCTATTGTCAACAGAATTTAGTTCTTCAAATCATTGTTCAGGTATCAATTGCCTATAGAACTAGCAAAAGTACATTAAAGAGGCAAGCATCAGGATTTGACGGGAAGACACTTCTAACAACCATTTCTGGCCCAGAATCAATAAGAAATGCTAGCAATATGTCCAGGGCCCCAGGCTTCGGTGTTGGTGTAGTTTCAACTTTCAAACATGTTATATAGGTCTTCCATACAGAGATTTCAACATGTAGAACAGGAAGTAACTAATGGTTATGTTTCAATTCATTAGTTAAGCCAACAATAAACGTTGAAATGGTGCACAGATTGATTCATTAGTGAAACCAACAACAAATGTTGAAATGGTGCACAGAGGACAAATTGCTTCTGCACATTTGTCAATCGGAGAGATCAGTAGTGCAACAATATGCCAGTATCTGATATGTGCCAAAGTGATTTTCACCGACATTAACATATGAATGGCACAAACATATTTCAGAAAAAGAAAAGTACAGCTGAAGAATTACCTACCAATCCATGCAAAGAAAATATCTGGATACAGTCTACAGATGTTATACCAACAACAAGAACATTCAGAAAAGGAGCATAGCTAATCAAATGGCTATCAGTTCCAGAATAATCAGAAGGAACACAAGGTGAAAGAAGCCTAGTGATGAATAGAACCGCATGTTCCTGCAAGCATGTAGATGAAAACACAGTGAAATGGGTGTGATAGACAAGAAATGAAACATACAAGATACCAGTTTTGAACTTGAGAATGACTTTAGGACACCAGTTATTTGAACAGGGTGCCTTCATCTGAATTTATTTGCAAAGTAAAACCAAATATACTATAGATATATGAAAAATGATCTCATCCCTGAGGAGAGTATATTGTGTAGTTTTCAGATCCAAATAAATTTCAGCAGTCCTAATTGTAGCGAGAGCTTCTCAAAAGGAAACTATTTTTTCTCAACATCTAAAAGGAGGGTTCATTCAGAAACAGATAGCACTTCATCTCAACAGAAAATGTTGCTTTATTCTCTTCTTCAATCTTCACCATCTCTACACTGGAGGGTTCCTTAGATGTTACTAAACTGTTCATGGGCATATTATCTAATGTTTGGTATTCCATCATTCTTAATGGCACAAGAAATGGTTTTTTTTACTTTTTCACAAGAACTCAAACAAGGTGATCCTCTCTCTCCTTCTCTTTTTATCATTGGTGCTGAAGTTTTAGCTAGATTGCTTAGCAGACTTATTCAAAATAATCATTTCTTACCTTTTACTATGCCCATGAAGGGGCCGACTATTAATCATCTATCGTATGCTGATGACATTGTGATATTCACTAGTAGGAATACCAAATCCATTATGATGATTTTGAAGCAAATTCACTGGTATGGAAAAAGTTCAGGCCAGAAAATGAACAAAAATAAATGTTTTTTCCTTACTGCTCCAGGTACAGGACCTAGTAGGATTAACAAAATCAGAAGTTCCACTGGTTTCCTTAACAAGGAGTTTCCTTTTGATTATCTTGGATGCCCTATCTATGTTGGGAAGAAAAGGAATGAATATTTTGAGAAGTTGTTATCGAAAGTTGTCAAAAGACTCAATGGTTGGCAAAGAAACATGCTTTCATATGGAGGCAAATACATTCTCATTAACCAAGAGGTCTCGGGTTTGAGCCCCCTTGAGTACGGAGTCGCCTTTGTTAGGGAGCACTTTACCCCCCAATGTGGGACTTCCCGGCGCGAATCCGAATTTAGTCGGGCTCCAATGTGGGTACCGGACACCGGGTGGGAAACCAAAAAAAAAATACATTCTCATTAAACATGTCCTCCAATCATTGCCTATATACACTCTTACTGTTTTAACTCCTCCTAATGGTATTATCAAGCTCATGGAGAGACATTTCAATAGGTTCTTTTGGGGCTCCACAACAGATAAAGATAAATATCATTGGAGCTCGTGGAAGAACATGCGTTTCCCGAGAAATGAAGGTGGATTAGGTATGAGAAACATGAAAGACATTTGTGATATCCTCAATATCAAGAAGTGGTGGAGGTTCAGGTGTCAAGATACTTTGTGGGCTAAATTCACTAAGGCCAAGTATTGTATCCAATCTCATCTTGTTGCTAAAGTTTGGGTATCTGGTAACTCTCATATTTGGAAGAATCTTACTCAAACCAGATCAAAAGTTGAGCACAATATGATCTGGAACATCCAAAAAGGAGATTGTAGTTTTGGTGGGACAACTGGACAGGCTATGGATCTTTAGCAACTTGCACTCCTGACCAAAGTCACTCTCTCAAAATTCAAGTGAAAAACTTCATCAACAATCAGGTTTGGGATGTACAGAGACTACAAGATGTGTTGCCGCGTGGCTGGTTCAGCATATCACCAATATTAAAATTGGTTCCAGTAGTAGAAGTGATTTCTTGATTTGGGAGGCTACTAGTGATGGCGTCTATTCAAATAACTCTGCTTGGAATTGCATAAGGGAAACTAGAGTGTCAGATCCTATATGGAAAAACATTTGGCATAAAAGTACTTCATTCAAAATGTCTTTCTTATCTTGGAGACTCATTAAATCTAAACTACCCTTTAATGATGTTATTTTCAGGTTTGGAACGATTAAACTTAACACAGATGGAAGTTTTCTGGAGCATAACGGAAAGGCTGGAATAGGAGGCATAGCCAGGGACAGCACTGGAGAGTTATCTTTGCGTTTGCTATTCCCACTGCTTATTTGCTAGACAAGATGCAATTACCTAGCATAAGGGATTGCAATCCTGGAAATTTAAAAAAAATAAAAAAATCTTCATCATCTACCATTCACTTCTACCAGCAAACACTTGATCACAGCTGCTCCCTTCTTCTATATCTCTCTATTAAAAACTCTTGTGAGCGGTGTTATTAAAGGCGCACTTAAGCCCTAAGGCGACACTCAAAACGCGTTGAGAGCTTCGCCTCACTTAATGTGCACTTTAGTGTCATCATCAAGGTTCTAAGACATACTTTTCCTTGTGAATGAGCATCTCCTGAAGAGGCGACGTTAAGCCAATGATATTTCACTTTTTCGTAAAAACAAACAATTTCTTTGTCCATATATTTGTTATTCATGCTTATAATTATTAGTCTTGGTATATATATATATATATATGTATTGCGATTAAGGCCCCAATGGACCTTAGAGCTTTTTTGCACTTTTCGCTTTTCATAACACTGCTTGTGAGCCACTAGAAGTGGGCAGCCTGCTTTATCTAATTCAGCTCTTGTAGAGAATACACACTCTCTCCCAGTCACACAAACACCCCACCCACCAGAGATGATATGGAGATCAATACCTTCATTCAGCCTCTTCATTGCCATTTACAAGATTAGTGATGGTGGACAGGTGAGTGTTCTTCTGCTCCAACTTTGTTAAAATTTTTCTTTAATTTAACCTTATCAGGGGGTTGCGTATCCAACCCATTTGGCAGTGCTTCTCAGCCTTGTTTACTAATTACATTATTCATTTAACTATGGCAGTTATTTTTTTTTAAAAAAAAAACTAAAGATTAATATTATTTTATTTTTTTTATTCATTAAGTTAAGGTTGTTCTTTCCTCTGTGCAATAATCGTTTGTTTGGGAGGACACTTGTGCTAAGGTCATGAAATTTTTCCTTCTTGTCATGGGTTTATGGGAGGGTAGGAAAAGGAAAACAAGAAACAAGGTTTATTAGAAAAAAATCAAGCAAAAATGCAGGCTCTCAAAGAGGTTTCCGGAGCTGAAGATAGTTTTAAGGTTTTACTGCTACTAAAGTACATAATACTAGTTCAATATTACCTGTATATTCCAACCACGAGCAAGAGAAGCCCCACAGAGAATTGTAGCGGCAGAAATCTTGTCTTCAGCTGGACCATTGACAGCAATCTCATATATTTTCTCTATTTCTGCTAAGCTTCCATCAAATCCATGAGCTTAAATTCAGTTGTCATACAACATAAATTTCAAGAAAGAGCATTTGATATTCCCAGACTTCAAAAGAGAAGGATTTTCAACTGAAAACCAGGTTATAGCTAAGAGAAACAAGGGAAAATAATTCTACTTAATGATATGACTGCAATTCCCAATATATGACCACCGACATGCATACTCTCAGCAATTTAGATTGATAAAACAGAAATCCAACTGGTTGATTTATCCTTAAACCTGCTCCAAAGCCCCAGAAGATGCAGTTTCAAGAGCTTAGCCACTGGGAATATTTGATGTTAAAGGTCAGCTTCTCTTTCAATTGGAGTGCACCAAATGTGAATACTTACAATCTGCAGATGTTTTCTTAAGTAAAAACTATAAACCCATTATTTTCTAATTATAAACTGTTTTTTATAACACATCTTTTAACTCTGAATATGTTTGAGAACTCCAAATACGACCTTAAAAGAAACCACAAACCAGTGGCATGGAATATACTTACTGCTTAAATCCATAGAGGCTTTTTTTAAGAATCATGCTATTTTCCAGCTACAAACAGATTTTATATCGTTTAGCTCTGAATATGTAGAAAACTCCTAATTTGAAATCAAAAACGGCCACTGGGGAACAACCACTACTGCATGGACCAACTAACCTTGGCAAATGATGGGATGAAGTGAGCAAACCAGAAATAAAGAAAAACATTCTTATTGTCAACTTCTAATACCTTGAAGCGGGTGTTGAAACCAATACACTGACCATTGGAGGAGTTAGGGGAGACCCCTTCATCAATGATGACCATCTAGGCGATGGGCCTGACATGTTACGAGGCACTTGATTGAATTGACCTTTTACATATCCCGGCCATAAATAAGCAGACGTATCCAAAATGTTTCTAGCAATGCAAGCCTCAACAATAAGGTGCCACAAGCTTCCAGCTAGAAATAATTACAGATGATTAGCATACACTACCAATATAACATACTTATGCATATAAGAGTTAAATAAGAGATGCACTAGATTGGTTAGGAGTTCCCAACATAGTCTAAAAGCAAATCTGCCCAAAAGTTAAAGGTAAGAAATTTAAAAAGTAAAACAAAGGTGAGGGTGAAGGACAGAGGAATAGCTGAGAGAGGTAAAAATATTCTCGAAAAGGTCACCAACCACTTGGATGGGGTTGTGGGAATAAAGAGGAAGCAAATTCTAGAACTTGGTTAAATTGAAAAGAATACAAGATGGAATCCAGGCAGCAAGTGATACAAGGCTGACACAAGCCTCTCCTGAAATCTACTGGACTCACCACAATTGGCAGGCATGTCATTCAATCTCATCCCATCAAAATACTCACTTCCCCCACTTAGCCCTGAGAGGAACATCATTGCTTTCAAAGCAGCTTGGTTTGCCAAAGGAATTGCAGGCAGTGGTGGGGTCAACAAGCCTTCATAATCATGCAGTTGCTGTAAGCTAGAAACCAAGGCCTGACGATGTTTTCCTGTGGACTCTGTTCTTTGATCACTAGTGCAGCTATCATTTTCCTCTTCTTTAATAATGTTGGTAATTGCTAGCGGTGTAATAGACAACAATAAGCATAAGCAAGTATCAAGACGAGGTACTGGACCCTCACTGGGATCCCTTTCCTAAATTGACCAAAAGCAGTTATTTAGTATATTTTCAATATCGAAATGAAGCTAACATTAAATTTGACCAGCTCAAATACGACTGCAGTTTCAATTCTGATAAATAGTTTCATTTAACATTCTATACAAAGGAATGAAATTCTAGAGTAAGAAGGAAACCCTATAGTTAGTCCTTAACTAATAAATTAGCGTGGTTTACAGAACTTTGAAACTTGCAAGCACTCATAAGGAAAAACGTGTTACAAAAGAAGACCTAGAGCTGAAGAAGGAAAATGGCAGGATGGATAGGAAGCATACTTTTCTGCCATCTAGCAACCTGGATAAAGCTGATGAAAGAAGGGATATCTTAATTGATTCTTACTCTATTAACAAGCCTAAGGGCTGAAATCCACAACCCAAAAAATGTGTTCTTCCATGATGTACAGTTAACTGCCCGCAGAGCCTTCACCAGACCTGCACAATAACTCCAGTTTAGCAAAACACAACAGGGTATATTCAATATTGAACTTAGAGCATTGACTACAGTATTTACCAGTAAGGGTGTCAGAAGCACTTGTAGCTGCCACTTTTGATCCATCCATGGTATCTTCAAGAAAGAGATCAATTGGTAGCCAGAGAACTGATGTACTAGCATCATCAAACCGACTAGCAGAAAGTGCAAGTGATCCAGAAGCCATAACAGCATGAAGAAATTTCCTTGAGCTTGTTTTGCATTCTCTGGAGAGAACTCCACGGTTTTTGGATATCAACAGTACCAAAGCCTCCGGAGAAATATTCTTAGAGTTTCTTAAAGCTGACGAGTTTGACACTAGAAGGTGTAAGTGCTGCATGAAAGAATCCCAATGTGTGGGCCTAAAGAAAGAAAATGAACATTTTGTTAAGCACTACTTCTCTCATAGCTCGACAGAATTGTAAAAAACAAAGCATTAGTAATAGACATGTTGATATTTGATACAGCACACAACTTAATGAAGGAATCTCTGTCATCTACTCATCCTACATGTTCCTATGTGCCAAGTAAAGAATCATGGATGTCAGTTTGTCCCCAAAAAGATCGCCAATTATTTCAATAGCCAGTACAGTGTTCATTCTACATAATCCTTCACGATGTTCAACTCTTTTCCCAGCAAAGCCATCACGATTGCTGATTTCCATTTCTTGAGTTGCAACTGACCACCTAGACTTCTTTTCAGCAGTCAGTTCCAGCAGCCCCTCATCATCAAGTGAGGCATCCAGTAACTGACATACAACCGTGAAAACATATTCAATCACATGCATTCCACTTTCAGATCCCTGGAGTTCAAATATCCGGGAAAGATGAAGAGTATCATTTATCGATTCCATAATCCTGCAATAGCACCTCCAGACATGTTAATGCTTCTACTGAAATTCATCCACAAAAATTAAACTAGCTCAAAACAAAAATTAATTTGGGAAATTTGAATCAGTCAAGAATATTAGTATTGGTCTTCATCCACATGGACATCTGTTTACCTCCCAGGAAAAATAGGAGGACAAACATTCACCGGACCATAAAAAGAAAAAATTATCTCCAAGAAATTTCACTTGAGATAGCATTTGCACAACAGATTGAGGCATAAATTTACGGGACCTCACTCTGAATGAAAAGGAGAAGATATTGAAAACCAGAAAAGGAACAAAAGAACCTCCATTGACAAAAAGAGATAATTGGAAAAAAGAGTTGTGCCAAATTAATACTTCAATAGCAAAAAAGGTAATACTCTGGGACACATCATAGACTATGTTGTTACAGTTTGAAGATTCAATGAGTGTCCAAGGAAATTATTATACAGTGAGACATGAGCCACTGTGTCCAAAGTAATTCAAACTGTTATGAACACCTTAACAGAAGAGGTCCAGTCAACTAACACAGTCAGCAGCCAGGTAATGTGTTTCCGGGAGAACAAAATTTTAAGGCAAAGCACAAGAATACACAAACCTCCAACAGTGATCTCGTTTGGCAGCCTGGATAAGGAGTACGTGAAGAGTGAAGAAGGATTTGGAAGAAGCAAGACCTAGCTATAAATATGAAGTAGCAGTAGAAATGTAGTATGCTGAGTTTTTCTTTTACTGTTTCACTTATGCTATATTTCCTTTGAAATCCAGTTGAGTAGTGAAATCCAATCTATTAGTTCATTTCCGTTTTACTGTGTTGAGTTGGAATAGTAAAACATTACACAAACTACATTTTTCTAGTTTTTGGGACATTATATAGCACTTGATAGTAGGACCAAGAGGAACCGTGAAGTCTCAGTACCAAAGAAGGCTTTTACAGAACATCAAACCATCATCCATTAAAAAAAGTTTTTATGGATCAATCTAAAGAGAATACAAGAAAATGACTTGAAATAGGAGAATGGAATGTACTTTTGATAATTTGGACCATTAATTAGAGATGGTAATGAAAAAGCATATCTTTTTAGAAGTTCCATCTAGAGCCCCTTCTAAATTTGTTCCTCTTATCCCATTTCTTTTACTGTTCCATTGATTCTATATTTTGTAGTCTAGTTGAAGTGATATCCAATCTATCAGTTCATTTCCATTCTTGTGTGGAGTTGAAACAGTAAAACATTACACAAACTACATTTTTTTAGATTTTGGGCCATTATATAGCACTTGATAGTAGGACTGGTATGAACCATGAAGTCTCAGTACCAAGAAGCCTTTTCCAAAACATTGAACCGCTAGCACCACCACAAACAACAATAACAACATACCAAGTGTAGTCCTACAAGTGGGGTTTGGGGAGGGTAGTGTGTACGGCTGTACGCAGATCTTGTCCCCTACCTTGAGAGGTAGAAGAACATCAAACTACCGATCCTAGAAATAAAAAATATAGTCTAAAGCACCTAACAAAAGAAAAAAAAACAAGTTCTTATGGATCAAACTAAAAGAATACAAGAAAATGACTTGAAATAGGAGAATGAAACTTACTTTTGATAATTTGGACCATTAATTAGAGATGGTAATGAAAAAGCATATCTTTTTAGAAGTTCCATATACAGCCTGTATGCCATCGGATAGCTCCTTCGAGCAGGAATTACTCTATAATACACAAGGAAATAAAGTCAATACAATAAAATAGACTCAATGAATAAATCAATTAATTATGCCTCAAATTCCCCACTATCATTCAACTCCATTTCAAATTGGTAATCAAAGTTAGACCTTTTTTATGCCAGACATCAACCTAATGCAATTCTCCTCGATTTCCAGGCTGTTAGTAAAAAGCACAAAATTGAAGAGCAAGAAAATGACCCAGCAGTGTAAATAATATGACGAAACTGTTAGTTACACATTTAAATTATGCAATGGTCTTCTTAGCTGCCAAGAATTTTTTTCACTTTTTTCTGGCGTTGAAAAAAAAACTACTTTTTTTTTCAAATTTCACAATGAAACATGGCCAAACGCTCACTAACTTTTCCATATTATTTACACTCCTAAACTATGTGAGGATCATATTAACCCCCTGAACTTTGCCTCGAATCCCCCATCTGCTCAGCCCTATTCAACTCCATTTTCAAATTGCTGATCAAATGCCAGCCATCAACCTAATGCAATTCTCCTCGTTTTTATATTTGGGACGAAATCACAAGGAAATAAAGTCAATACAACAAAATAGATTAAATGAATAAATCAATTAATTATGCCTCAAATCCCCCAATATTCATTCTGCTCTACTCAACTCCATTTCAAATTGGTAATCAAAGTTAGACCTTTTTTATTCCACCAACCTAATGCAATTCTCCTTCTCCTTTTTTCCGGATCCGTTCACGTTTGGCCATAGAACTCTGAAATTCATCTTGAAATTGAATTCCAGAATTTTCAAGAATTTGATAAACAACAAAAAGGTGTTTATACTCTTCTTTTTTTCACTCCAAATTACTCACAAAGAGTAAAAAGTAATTCCAATTTGTATTCATGGCCAAACACAATAACATAGCCAAACACCTACTTAATTCTTACATATTACTTACCCTCCTATACTATATGAGGATCATATTAACCCATCTGCCAGCTCTATTCAACTCCATTTTCAAATTGTTGATCAAATTCAGAAATCAACCTAATGCAATTAGGGGTACGCATCGGTCGGTTCGGTTTTAGGTGTTATTGGTTCGGTTTATCGGTTTTCGGTTTGTAAATACTTCAAACCGATAACCAAACCAATAACATATTTCTTATCGGTTTTTGGTTAATCGGTTTATGGTACTTAACGGTTCGGTTTTCGGTTTAACCAATAAGAAAATACTCATATATATTATATACACAATAAATTTTTTTTCAAATAAACCATATGATTTTTCCAGCATTTGGCATGAAAGTAATAATCATAAAAGTAACAATCATTTTTCTTGCAAGTTTAGACACTAGACACATTCAAAGGAAAAAGTGTGAAATTAACAATTGTTTAACCATTAACAAAAAGTGTGAAAGTAACAATCGTTTAACCATTAACAATAAGACTAGTAAATTTAGTATAGTCTTATTGGGTTATCGGTTTAACCATTAACAAAAATTATAAAACCGGAAACCGAACCAATAACCCAATAAAAAAATTTGCAAAACCGTTTAAAAACCGTTAGCCCAATAACCCAATATCAATAAACCAATAGTGTTTTTTTCGGTTCGGTTTATTGGTTAAATCGGTTTTTGCACACCCCTAAATGCAATTCTCCTTTTTTTTTCAATTTGTGATGAAATCAATTTCATAAACGAAAAGTACAAAATTTGAAAAATTGAAGAGGAAGAAAATGACCTTGTAGAGAGAAGGGCGAGAACGAACAGAGGAGGGACAATTCTAAACACCAAAGCTTTCTCTAGAAGCTTCCAAGCATTAGGAACATTATTGGACCAACAAATATGAGATACGAGAAGTTCGGCAACGTCGGTCGACGGCATAGAGATGCCGGCGGAGTTGAGACTGGAGGAAAGCTCCATGGCCCATACCAATGGATCGGTGTTTCTTTCCTGAGCCAATTTCGTCAGCTCCATCACTCTGTCCCATTGGCTCGAATGTACGGTTACCGTTTCCATGGATTCGCCGGTCAGGAAATTGGATTCCGGCGGGTTACGCCGGCAATTATGTCGATCGCAGAGTAAGTTGGCTTGCTGGAAACACAGTCCCGGGTATAAGTATTTAGGGTAAAAAAATTCGGACTAAAATTTTAAAAATAGAAAAATTTAAAGTAAGCTTTATAATACGATGGTCAAATTAGCTATATTGGGTGGAAATGAATGTTGATCAATCAAAAATTCACACGCTTAAAAACTTATAAATGATTAAAATAAAAATATTGAGATGGATTTGTAGACAAAAAACGAGATAGGATCAAGAATAAGCTATATTCAAAATAATGAAAGATGGTCATATGTGACATATAAAATGAGAAATGCGGGACTGAAATAGTTTTGACATATGAAGAGATTATGCACAGATGTTATAGTGAGGACTGAGGAGATGTGGGAGATTGCCTATAGGGGGAATTAGAGAGGGAAAGGTAGCCGAAGAAGTAATGAAGGAGGTGATTAGACAAGACATGATTCACTTGCAATTGATCGAGGACATGACAAAAAAATATGAAGATCGAGAATTAAGATAAAAGGTCCGTAGGTAATCAAATATTTTGAGCTTTCACTTGTGAGTAAATAACTAGCTATTACCCCTACTTTAGTCATTAATTAATCGTTGAAAAATGGATTTGATCCCTTTATAAAATATACTATTAAAGTGTATTTTATCAAGTGTACATTAAAAAAAACAAAGTCTTGCTAGTTGTAGTTTTTTTTATTCTATTTAAATTTGACTATATAAAACATTTAAAAAATTATACGTGTGAGCTTATCATATTACTGATCCTATAAATGTAGGTTCAATTAAATTATACGAAAAGAAAGGACAAGAAGTTTAAATTGGATAAAAATGGAGAGTTACAATAAATTGACAATTGACATAAAATTAATTAATTTATAATGACTCCCTAAAATACATAGTACATTAATAATAGTGGAGTCAAGATTTAAAATTCATGAGTTTCGAATTTGAGTTTTTTTAAACAACTAATAATTTGTGGATATTTAATAAAAGTATATTTGAATCGACACTATTATTTTAATTGTACTTGTATGCTATATTCTAGTTCCATCTTATTTTTTAATAAATGTATCCTAATTTATTCAACTACAACTTGACTATGATAATTAAGTACTCGTGATAATGCTAGTAGTAGTACTTAAAATATTTCAGTTGACTATCTAAACTTTTAATTTCCACAAATTAAACCTCAAGTTGCACTATTGTACTTGTTTAATTACATGAGGATTCTGAAAATATAAATAAGGCAAATTTTGATGGAAAAAAAGAGGTAATTTGTTGCATAAAGCATCTCGTATTAGCATATTTGAAAAAGAATTGTTAAAACGAAATTTTATTTATATACTTATTCGATTAATCAGTTCTTGAAAAGTTATATTAAACAAAAGAACTATAAATTAGAATAACTAGCGTAAGAGAAGTCCATGTACGCAAATCGTTAAATAAATCGTTCGTTATATCAAATCGAGCACGTATTTTGGATAAATAACATAGATATACATATGGAATATATTTAAGATTCCAACAAATAGTAAATTCTAAATTTATAATTCTAAAAGTACAATCAATGTAGATATTAACATATTTACAATACTAAAAGTACGATGAATGAAGATAAAAACATGAAAGGTTAAAATTGTAATGTTTACGTCTCATATTTACATCCTCATCAAAAAATACTTCACCAATTCATGGATTCTTCTCTGATGATATGGTCCACAAGTAAAAATCGATATAAATACAATAATAATAAATAAACATGGTGTTCGACTAGTGCCAGTAAAGTACATAGTAAAGTTGATCAACCAAGGATCATTCAATGCATTTGAATATGGTTGTAGCCATAGGGCCATCTAGTGCATTATTATTGGAAGTAGTTGTTATAGCCATGGCCATAAATGTGGTGATTATAAAATAATAAATGAAAGATTCACTTTATGTTATTGGCATATATACTATGAGTCCAATACTAAAATTTCAACCAACAATAGATTTTGAACTCGTCATTTTAAAAGTTTGACGAGTCCAATACTATAAACTTAAAATGTCAAGACTATCAAGTCTACATTTCAGATCCACTTCCTTATCACATTATACTACACCAGTTCATAGGTTCTTCTCTGATGACATGATCCGTGATTAGAGGTCGATTCAAGTACGAAGTCGATTCGTAGCCAACATAAGGAGAAGAGCTGTGGTAACTTGAACCATAATAAGGTTGATCAACCATGGCTCCTCTAGTAGGATAGTAAGAGCTTGGCTCATCCAGTGCATGATTATTGTAGCTATAAGGTCCATCTAGTGAATTATAGTTATTATAGCCATGTCCAATATGGCCATAATTATTGTGTCCATATTGATTTCTTGGATTACTAAGAGAAGGATGCTTCAATTTCACATTTATTAATTCTGCATGTTGACCTGACTTTAACAATGCTAATAACAACCTGTTTGGATCCACCTCTCCACAAACATTTGCTATTCCTTTTTCTGCGTCTATAGTCAATGCATACACTCCTATACCGAAGCGAATTCAGAATCAAGAGTCAATCGATATGAAATATTTGTCCTAATAAGTAAACACTTAGTTATGCGTGAATAAATATTTTATCATACTCAAGCCACACATGTCATAACAAGTTGCGCCTCAAAACCTATTGACTTTATTTTCTTCATGTCAAACTTATTTACGAAGAATTTAAATTTTATGTACTAACAATATAAATTTTTTTTATATAATCAAATTCTTTATAAGATAAAATAGGTAAAATTTCTTTTATAAGTATTAATTGAGAACCTAGTAAAATTATATTGATAACTCAAAACTTAATAAAATTGATTACTAATTACCTATATAACATATTAGATTACATTAAACAAATTTATACTAATTACCTCGTACAGAGTGCAACACTTCCATCATCTTCATTTTGCAGGTATCACAATGGATGTTCACTTTCAAATTGCAACTCTACAACAACAAAAACAATTTGTACGACGTTTGATCAAACTTCTAAAATCTGCTTATTTTTAAAAATATTTCATGAAATAAATTGTTGAAAAGGTAATACAGATAGTCAAATATACAAAAAAAAATAGAAATATTTTTTCTCTTACCACGTCTGCAATGGGCTCCATTGAAATTAATTATTGGTGTCTAAACAACTGGTTTAAAAAATTAATAAGAAATCAGCGCGAGCAGTGATATATACACACAACTAATATTCAATATTATGTAATTATGTACAATGTTTTTACAATTAGTTCACCACTAAAAAAATGACAGAGCTTAAAATTTATGGGTTCAATAAAATTGAATGACTTCGATTAAATCTATTGAATATGTACAAATTATCACTCAAACTTGTAAGTTTCAATTCTTGACTCCGACTTTGCACAAGAATCGAGGGAATATTCGAACATAGGTATGAGAAAACTAACCTTAGAATATAATGAAATTGCAAAATGGAAGATATTATGATTAAGAGGAGTGATGATAAGGTTTTTAATAATGAGATTATGCAAACGATGTATATAATTTCCAAGATTTTATTTATGGATAAAAATGGTAAAATAAAGATTTGTTCCTTTTGGAAATTGTTTTGAGAATGGAAGCTAATAAATGTAGTGATTAAAAGAAGAAATCAAATATCTTATCAATATACATTTAAGTATATTATTTTTCAAATTTGTTACTTGAATAGTATTATGTAGGGGTGTGCATTCGATTTTTCGGTTTGGTTTTACACTATTCAGTTTGGATTTTCGATTTTTGGTTTTGTAAAAGTGTAACCCAATCCGATCCAAAATAAATTTGGTTTGGTTTTCCTCTATTCGGTTCGGCTTTTTTCGGTTTGGTTATTCGGTTATGTCAATAATTAATAACATATATAACCAAAGTAATGATATTTAATCCCTTAAATATTCTTTCTAATATAAATCATAAGTAAAACTTGAAACACAATACTTATAAGTATACCTATTATAGATGTAATTCAAACATAAAATATAAACGTAATCATCATGAAAGACAATAACCAAAAAGGGACAAAAGTGGTTAACTCCAACTTAATTCTAAACCTAAACATTTTATATATATAATTCAATTTTTTTCGGTTTTTCGGTTTTTATTTTTTAAAATCCGAAACCAAACCAAAAAACCAAACAAAGTAATTTATTAATCCAAAACCAATCCGAAAAAACAAAAAATCAATCCAAATAAAAATTTGGTTTGGTTATTTGATTTAATCCAAATAGTGCACACCCCTAGACTATTATGACAAGGGGAACAAAAAAGTCACGCTAAATCCAATGCGAGATTATGATTATTTACATCGATAATATAAAGAACTTTACATAATAAGATTACTACAAGTAATTGTCTATAATAAATTTGACGATTTAATTTACCATATTGAAAAAGAGTTTTAAGTAATGTGTATTGTTGGTGTATAAATTTCTACACTATCAAGTTGAGTTGACTTGCGATAACAAGTATTTTTCATAGCATGTGTGATATTATAATTAAAAAAAATATAGTAGATAAATTAATCAAGGTAAGCGTAGACAAATGATAAGGTTGAAGATGATGCTATCATATGCCCAAAGAAGTATTAAAATCACCCTCAACAGTAATTCATCAGATCATATACAACACAGTTGAATAACAAAAGCAAATAAACTCGTTTAACAAATTAGCAAAGAGATTCAAATAAATGCAAAGAACATATATTATTAGTAATACCAAAAAAAATTATTTATAGGCACAATTAACAAGACTTGAATTTCTTTTGACACTTTCATAAAAAAAAAAAAAATGCATCAGCAATTATCAAGTCTTGTATTTCCACAATGAACAAATTAAAGTATTTCCTATCATCAACCTGCCTAGAGAGAAAACAATAGTGAACCTAAAATCATCTAAATCATGAAGCCTCAGTTTATTACTTTTGAAACAACGCCCGCGCCAACTGTTCTACCACCTTCTCGCA